CCACGTGCCCAGAAACCCCGGCCCAGCGCCGCCGGAGACCGTGAGGCCCCCACTTCAAAGGCCTCGACCCCCAGGAGCCCAACTGTTGACCCCAGGCTCAAAGTTCCTAGCCTGACCCCTGACCCTCGCCCCGGAAGTTGGGGTGACTCGGAAGTTCCGGCTCAGTCGCTAGGAAACGAGCCAGCCCGACGCAAGGGGCGGAGCTCTGACCTCCTCGCCGAGTTGGTGAAGGCAGGTGCGGCAGGTGAGGGCGCTGGGGCGGCGTCGAGCCCCGGGCGGGGCCGGGTCTGGGAGCCCCGAAAGCACAGGGGATCCATTCACCACACACCGGTCTCCCACCGCACCAGCGTCCCACACGTAGAGGGAATCCCGCCCAACAGAGGACCCCCAGGCCCCGACCCCCACCACACACACACACTGATGCCCACAAGTACCTGGGGTTCCCCATCTTTCTCCCTCATCCCTTCACATCGATGCCCACACTTGTAGGGGACTCTGCTGCAGTGACCCCCAATGCACATGCGGACCCCGAATGACCTGTCCCTCGTGTGCACCAACCCCCCAAGCACAGGAGACTCCTCAGGAAGACAGAACCCAACAAGCACACCCAGTCCTGTCCACTTTAGTCACCCACAAACACGCTGACGTCTGCACACGTAGGGAACCCCACCTGCATATGAGATCCCTCAGACACCGATCCCACACACAAACAGGGATGCCATATTCACACTGACTCTGAGAGACCAGGGGACCTCCCTCACACATATAGAACCCTGGGTGTACACTCGGGGACCCCGCGAAAACCAAGCCCCAACACGGACAAGGGACCCAGTGTGCACACCAAGCCTCACATACCAGACGCCCCCGCATGAACACAGCAACCCCTACACACTACCCCGAGCTGCCCCTGGGTGCTCCAGTACCCCCAAATCCCCCTCAGGCCCTCACTTAGGGCCTCTCCCCCCACTTAGGCCCTGCCCTGCACTGGATTACCTGTCCAAACTACCACCCTTCACCCCTGCCACTCCCACCCCAAGGACTGGCCCTGCCTGAACGCTTTCTGATTGTATCAGTCACCTTTCTCTTTGTCCCTCTTGCCATGTGATCCTATTTTCTGTTTTCAGGGTCACTCCCAGTTTCATTTGTTCTTTCCCCAGACACTCAGTGACACCCCACTGGTACCAGTATGCTGGAAACATGGGTGGGGGGTCAGACCAGTGCCCAGGCAACTGTGCTGCAGCGGGTGAGGGGCATGGGGCACCAGGGAGGACCCCGCCAAGCCAAAGCAGGCAGGAGGAGCCTCCCAGGGAAATGAACTTGGGGGTCAGCTGTGTGGACTAGGGAGAGGGGTATTACTCCAGGACCTGACAACACCATCTGCCAAGGCCGGGACCACATAGGGTCTGAGGGCTTGGAGGGGTGAGTGCCTTGGGTGGGCTGGGGAGCAGGCTCACGGGTGGGCTGGGTTCCCAGGGCAGTGGAGAGGCATGGAGGCTTCAGCAGAGAGGGCCGTGCTCATGCTTACGGTGAGAACAAAGACCGTCCCACTGGCAACCCAGCACCTTGGGGCAGTGAGAAGAGTGCTGGACTCCAGATCCTGGGCCTGGCAGGATGAACTGAGCCTGGGGTGGAGGGGCAGGCAAGCCACAGCCGGGGGGATGGGATGTGGCCAAGTGCTCTTGCCAGGCATCCCGGCTCAAGCTTCTGGGCACACACCTGGGGCGGGCAGGCAGACAGGACACCAGCTGGGAAGCCTTGGGGGAGCCCATGTTCCTGCTGTTATCCACTCAGGCCCCCGTGGTGTGCCCTGTTCCCCACTGCCGCTGTCCCTGCCCTCTGCCACTCTGAGCACCCCCTCCCTGGTCCTTCCCTACCCACCCCCCAGGAGAATGCACAGTAAGAAGGGGGGACCCAAAGCTGCAGCTGGGAAGTGGCAGACGCTCCACCCTGGGCCCAAGCCGAGAGCCACTGCTGGTGAGTGCACCCTCTGACCTCCAGGGCACTGT